AGTAGTAGTAGTAGTAGTAGTAGTAGTAGTAGTAGTAGCTGTAGTAGTAGCAGTAGTAGTACATTTCTCTTTGCCTCTATTTTGTACTGTAGCTCAGCTGTCATCGGGTCCATTTCTAATGTTCCTAACTGCGTGACCAAGCTATTTAAATCTTCTTACGCTGATCTCTCTTAGAAAGTATAATTTGCTGTGTTTCCAGCTCTTTCGGGGGGACACTTTTATTAATCGTTCTTTCGTCTGTCCATTTGACCCCAAGAGCAGCTTCCTCAAAACAACCAGATTTCTGCTACTCGTGTGTTTTTGTTTGAGTAAAGAGAAGCACATTGACACAATAGTGGTCGTTCAGTGCAGGGATAAAGTCAGACAAACAGACAGACAGACAGATGGACGGACGGACGGACAGACAGACAGACAGACAGACAGACAGGCAGACAGACAGACAGAAACAACAGTGGGGAAAGAGAAAAGAAGTAGGACCAATCAGGTAGGCCCTCCAAACAACCCGCATTTATGCTGTTTCGAAAGCAGCTCAGACAGAGAGGTACAGAAAAAGAAATGGAACCTGCCACTAGACGTGACTTGAGGCCCCCGCAGAAACCACCTGCACAGATAAGATTCTGAGCCACCAATGATGATAAGACAAACAGGAAGCTCACAGCAAAAAAAAATTTAAAAATTCAAACCTGTTTAGTTTAGTCTTAGATCTAGTATGGGTTTTACAGCACTTGAAACACAATAAGGTCATTGAAGTGCCGAAGATTAGATAGAGGGGTTTAGTGTTAGTTTTAGTAGAGGGTTTTACGGCGCTCGCAACTGCATACGGTCATACGAGCGCCAGAAGATTAGAGGTGTTACAAGAGAGTAACAAACATAAAAAAGAAGAAGGGGAGATAAGGACGATAGATGTTTGATAGGAAAGAAGAATCAGACCACACCAGAGCACCCGCCAACCACCCGCACTAAGGGGTGTCAAATCTGTAAAACCAAAAAGTGTGACAGATTGTTCGAAACGACATTCTGTGTTGCTGTGAAAAAAAGATGAAGAAATGAAGAAAGCTCTTTTCTGTTGTCGGAGACTTTTTTAAAGTGCCTGCCTTTTTTTTCTTTTTTTCTTTACTGCTTTTCATATTTCCAGCCCAGGCGCAATGTAGCCTTTAGTTTTTGAGGAAAGTTAATTGGTTTGGTTTTGTCACCGAGTTGTTGACGTATTTTGTCGTGCAGTTCCCGTCTACGTGTGACGCTAGCTAATCGAGGCTCCTCGCCATGGGGGAAAAGGATCGCTTTTTATGTTGTTGCTGTTTTCCTGGGGTTCTGTCTTCAGATGTAAATGTCGATGTGGTGGTAGCTGTAATGTATCTGTTTTACCTTTTACATCTGCCTGTGATTTTTGATGTTGTTTTTAATGGGTTGTTTTCCTGTTCTTCTGTCTGGGTTTACTATCAACATGAGGCATCAACTTAAAGAAAGAAGGATTTGTAAACTGTTATTCTTTCTTTCTAACGAATGGCGCTCATATGACATGCAGTTGCGAGCGCCGTAAAACCTCTACTAAAACTAACTTTCTAACGAATGGCGCTCATATGACATGCAGTTGCGAGCGCCGCAAAACCTCTACTAAAACTAACTTTCTAACGAATTTCGAAATGAAAGTGACTTGTTGTATCCTACATCAAATTTAGTTCTCCTGCAGTATTTTGTTGCTGCTTTTTTAACATTTCTTCAGTTCAG